CTGGAGAGGTGCTGGTATGGCTGCTACAGCACCACTCCAAAACACCCCCATGCATTTCCAAAAGCACCCCAGTGGGCAGTTCTGTGGGCTGTTGAGAACAATGCAGCCACTGGAAGGAAGCACTGAGGACAAGCTGACTATCCGAAAGGCTGTCTTATGCCAATTACCTAATATAAAATTACAGCATTGTTCCTCTCTCTGGGCAGATTGAGAATCTGACCAATAGAAATATTTGTCAACCCTGGCAAGAGTCCGAAAGGTACGCTTAGTGTTCCAGGGAGTGAAGTGCACTCATTAGGCAACAATAAAAATGCCATCACTCCAACTCCAAGAAAAGCAGAAGAGCACAGAACGACAACATTAAATATTACTGAACAACTCCACTTGCAAGATCCGCACTGACTTTTCCACATACATCTGTCTGCTCCCTACTACTGGGTGAACTTTTATGATGAAAGGAAATCTGGGGTCATTCAGGCTGGGTAATTCCTGGATGAGGATGCACCACCCAAAGGTGTGGTCCCACTACTTCATCTTGGATGCTGGCCCATGTCTGACCTGGCTGTGCGAGGATTCCCAAGCAGCTCTGCACAGGCTCCTGTCCCAGCCTGTCTTTCCGCGTGCTCATTCCCTCCCTTCCTCCCCACCCTCTGCTGACCTTCTTCCTCACTTCTCAAGTTTCCAGATGCTTCCTGATGCCTCAGCAGCACTCACTCCTCTCTGCATTCACAGGCTGGATACTTCCTTCAGTCAGTCTCTCTGGTGATGCTTCTGTACTTGGCTGTTTATCAGGATCTACAAGAACTAGGTCCAGTTGCTGACCCAGAAGGAAACCTACTACTATTGTTTTGCTGAAGAGTCACATGGCCAAACCATTTTCTAAATACATCTATACTCATGGTTTAGTGCAGTGTCCAGCTTCCATCAGGAAAGCATCTTACTGCAGCTGGCAGTGGTTGATGCAGAAACCTGTAAGAGTGATGATGGAATGCCTGGCCTCACATGAGATATTATGACACCCCCCACACACACACCCCACACCTCCCTACCCCCACACAGGTCAGGGAACGCCTCAGAAGAGGGACAGGAAAGAATGTAAGAGGCGAGGATGGGAGATGTGCAGCAAAGTCATCTGTACACAACACAGCTGTTGCACTCATGAGCCCGGTGCACAAGTCTGGCACAAGAGTGGCCTAATCAATGCTTTATCACGGCCGGGGAAGGGGACCAGGGGGCCTCATGCCTTCCAGAGGGACTCCTGGCAATTAATGCCTGGAGGAGGGCCACTTTATTCAGTAGTGTAGCTGCAGATACGTTAGCCTTGCTCCACCAAATAACTTCCCACCTGCATTCAGGCAGTGAGCCATGCACACAAGGAAGAACAGGGAGGGGCTCACTGAACGGAGGGGTACCAGTGGGAGGGAAACGAGTGAGGGGAATGGGGGTGAAAACGACGAAAATGCATTACATAAATGTATGAAACTGTCAAAATGATAAAAAAAGACATAGGATCCACGGGAGTATAGTAAGCAGCTGGGATGTAGTAGTGCTCCCAAAAACTTGTTATACTGTGTATTTAATAAAAACTTTAATTGCATTTGTATTTAGAAAACAACAACAACAAAAAATCCCATGTCCATTTCAGTTCATTGTAATAGTATTGCCATCTAGCTCCATCTGTCACCAGTGTCCAGCAGCTCACCTCCCTCCTGGCTGTGGACCTTAGAATATACACTCAATAGCATCAACATCCACAACAACACTGTATAGCACTGACATGCATGAAAACAAACCTCCCTTTTAAGGAGGGACAGTCTGTGGTCTAAAGGACAGTTTATTTAAAACAATGGTGACAGGTGCTGGGGAGGAATGAGGGGAACAACTCTAACACAAGAGCAGACAGCAAGTCCCTCAAGTTAAAAACAACGGCAGTGGAAGAAGCTATGTCTCACACATATACAAACCGCTGACCTTGATTATTTACATCCAAACCTTACAAAATAGCATTTCAAGTCAGCACTTAAGCCAGTGTCATTAGTCTTCATTACAAAACATTAAAGCTACAAATTTCACATTTTTTAAATTGTACATCAGCAACAGCATTTTTTTTCTCCAAGTTGGTCTGAGTGCAGGCTGGTGGAAGAGACCAAAGAACATGGATTCCAAAGATGATGAATGTAATCCTAATAAAAATTCAAACACAGTGCTCAAAAGAAGGGTGAGGAGGGTGAGGGGTGTGTTCTGGGCAGGAACAACTTCCCCAAAATAAAGAACTGCAATCTTTAGAGGCTGCACAGTATGCTGGGAAGGACAGTGGCATAAGAACCGGACTCTGCTACACTCTGCTGGCATGACCTTGAGGAACAGGCATTTCCAGAGCCTCAGTTTCCTGGTCCACAGAACGGAGAGACACCCGTATCTCTCAGAGCTATCAAGTTTTGGTAGAAAGGGGACTGTTCAGATTGCCCATGTCTTCCTAACTTTCCAGGTATCCATCCATTTCACTTAGGCTGGTGAATTCACTAGCATGCAGCTGTTCATAATATTCTGCTATTAGTCTCTGAGCATCTGCAGGGTCTAAAGTGATGCCATCTCTCTCACTCCTGATATTAGATGGGGGTATTGAGTTTTAAATGGTAAAATAAATTTCTAGCATCTGCCAGGTGCTACTAATCTACAGTGTCAAAGACTCAAGACTCAATGCCTGAGGCTTCAGATGACCATTTCCATCATTCCACTAACCCAGAAACCTTCCCACTCCCAGCCAGTCAAATTCTCGTCCAATTAATTGGGGTTGAAGAAAAAAATACATAAGAAATATCAAAAATAGAAATGTGCTTCAAATTTATGAATGGGAGCACAACTAGAACATGTTTAGAGACTATGAGGTTTTGTTTGTTTGCTTTTTGAAAAGAAAAGTTAGGTGTGGGTCATGGCTTCTCAGAAGTAGAGAGCCCAGAGTTCTGTCAGCCTGAGTCACAAACACTCAAGCTCCAGGGAATCAAGATGCAATTCCTGGGATCCTCGGTCCTTGAGGAAAGCATGGCTTGCTCCCCCGCCTGTCACTGGACAACACATACGCTCTGCAAGGAAATTTCCTTGATCCAAAACAATTGACTTCTGGCAAAAGGCTCTATTCAGCTGTACTGCTGATACAGAGATGCTTGAAACCGAATAAACTCCAGATCTAGGTTCACAGCTGTAAAATAGTCACAGGAAAAGAGCTTTTGGATCTTGCTTCAGAAGGGAGCCAAGGGCTTTCTCCTTCTGCCTGGCCAAGCCCAAAGCACTTTTCTTCGAGAGGAAAGAGCTCCGAGGATGGGCTATTATGCAAGCTCAGTGCTCTGGGTTTTTAAAAACTTACTTGACTGGGGGATGTGACTATTAATTCAGCTGGCTTTTAACCTTAAAACAAAAAAAAAAAAAAACAAAAACAAACAAAAAAACAACCCACACATACCTAAACGTAGTCTTCGTGAGAAGACACAGTCACTTCATTCTAAGCATTGAGGACTTTCCTGTTTTTGTGACTAGCCCCACAGAGTGATGCCATGGATCCAGATCCAGTGTCGTGGGAAGGAAATCTTTCAAATTCAATTTCATTGTATGAGAAATAACTAAATGAG